TAAAGAAAGAAATAAATAAATAAAAAAGACCAAGTTTTTAAATAGTAATGTTGTCAAGAAAATGTTATAAATAAAGTCTTATAAACAAATAATTGTATACATGAATGGATTTTTTAAAATAAAATTTTTGTCATTTTTATAATTAAAATAATATGGAATGTACAGTTTATAACAATGGTTTAACCACGCCTGTTAAAATTATATATACAGTATATTTTTATTTATATACATTTTTTACGAAAAAATATGTGCCGCTAATGTTGAATTGTCAATGATATACAACTTGAAACTAATTTACAATGACGATTCCTTTTAATTGAAATTGATATCTATGATGTTTCATCCGAATTTTGCGAAGCTACCTTGAAGAAGGGTGATATTACTTTTCCTCACCGGAACTAACTATAACATAAACGTGGATAATGGAGAAAGGAAGGTAACACCTTATCGCAATTGTAAACCTTTATGGAACATGACTAAGCAAAATCATCAACGATATGATATGTTGTATAACTGTTTGGAACAATAGGATTGCATTCTAGAGACGAGAATGGAAGATTCACGCAACTAGGATAAAAACATGAACAATACTAAACGAAAATGGTGAGAGCGTTAAGTCGGTGGAGTCTTGTGAGTTGATACTTTTTTCCGTCTTAAAATTAAATTAGTCGAAGTTTAAGTAACGCCATTTTTTTTAAAATGAAATCAGGCATTGCATTTGCACAATTATAACGAGACCCTGACAATATGTTTTCAATAAAGCAGGGTGTAAAAAATTTTTTTTCGTCTTGTCAGAAAGCACCTTTGGGCGCCTTTTTACTCTGCGTTTTTCCAATGCGCCCTTTCGTTAGACGATATAGAAGAGGGAAAGGGTTTAGAAAAAAACCAATTGTGGATAAAGCATAGTCTTAGTAATGACCCTTTAAAAAAAAATTTTTTTTTTTCTTTGCATGATCACGCCGTGAGAACTTGTTGGTGAATGAACGTAGATAAAGGTATTATACTAAAAATGCCGCGTTCTTTGCCAGTGTCCAATCAGCTTGCACGTAAAAAAATGTGGAGTTATTAATACATACGTACGTGCGTAACTATGGCATAACATAACAATAAGTTATCTTTTTGAAAGTAGATTTGATGGAGGAGAATCTCTTTCATGCTCTGACAGTTCTTATATGTATGTATGTAAGTAGATGCATATTTTTTATCATCTCGCCATTATCCTTTGTATTACATATATCGGCTATTTTTTTTTTCTCGCAGGAACTTCGTAATGTTTGCCACAAAATAAAAGGAAAACATTACATACAAAATGTTCTAATGCAGCTTTCCAAATACGAATTCATTTTCCCCTTCCCGTTGCGGTACGTTTTGTGGTCACCACTATTTCTCGTTTTGGTAATAATAAGCTTGAATGATCTGACGACAATGGTTCCATTGTTTACAATTTATATAAATTAACGTTGTCTTTTCCTTCTACACCCGAAATTTTCAAGGTCTCACGTTTTCAGAATAAAAAGAATTAAAAAAAAAAGAAAAAACCACAAATAATGGAAGGATTAGAATTTAAACTTCACCCAAAATACGGTCTATCTATGCACGCGACTCGTGACTTTGAAAAAGGAGAAGTTCTGTTCACCGAAAAACCCTTGCTGGTCGCCCAAACGCTCACCTCAAAATGTGACAAAGCATTTACGTCCACCCATGACATTGACCTCAAAGTGTTCTCCATATTCAAACGGTTCTTCGATAGCTCCACGGAAATACAGGATACCATGTTAACCAATTTTTACCTTCCCCCGACCAAACAAGCTCTCGATAAAGTGTGGTCAATCATTGGTACACCTTGCGTGGACAAAGTAATTAACGTTTGCAAAGAACATGTTCAAGCATGGTCAAACATCGATGAAGAGGTCTTCCGAAAAGTATATTTGGTATTCACCTTGAATTCCAATCCAGTCGACTCGGACGGTTCGCCCGCGATATTTATGACCTCTAGTAAGATGAACCATTCCTGTGATGCGAACACTTTTTACCAATCTATTGGTGGCAGCCGCGCTGTTTACACCGCAACTAAGAATATTCTAAAGGGAGATCAGGTGACCACGAATTACTTAGAGAAGGACACAATTTTGCCGACGAGTGAACGGAGAAAATTGTTGCAACGCACGAAACTGCTCTTGTGCGATTGTCCTAGATGCATGGAATGTATAGATATTTCGCGCGGGTTGCCGTGCCCCAATTGTTCGATGATAGATTATTCCTTCGGTGGGAATACAATTGGTGGTTACATTTATTGGAATCCAAAATCATGTAATTGGTCATGTGATACATGTCACTCGAAATTTGATAACGATAGTCCGCGACTACACGGTCTATTGGTCCGAGAACATGATTTGAAACAAGCGGTAATCTCACTTACCGAGAAACTCACCAACCTCCAATTAGTAAATCGTTGTCAACTACTTGAACTCTATAACGCGTGCAAGAGCCAACTAGGCATCCGTCATTGGACCTACATCTTAGTGCTCAAGATGCTGATCTTATTTGATATCACACAACTATCTAGCGGAAAGAGCAACTTGAAATCTACGTTAGTCCAAAATTTAGATTATGTGCTCGATTGGTACGAGAAAGGTGGTTTCGATGCACCAAGACATTTGTGCATGCTCATACTGCGAGTAGTTAATGCACTGATATGTGCTGAGGATTATAGTAATGCTCTGCATTTCTTGGAGCGAGTTTTTCGTGAATTCCCATACGCACGGATTTTTAGACAGGAATACAAAGAGGCAGTAGAAATGATGAAAAAATGTCGTTCAGTTTTGAATGGTGAGGTTGCGACAACGTACACAGGAGAAGGAAAACAGATGTTGGGTCACGATAATTGTCGGACTATCCAAATGGGACTGTAGTTTCTAGATAGATTTATTTTCTTCTCTCATTTTGCATGATCTTTTACAATTTATATACGTAATGCATTAATAATGTAAACCGAAAGATGTTAGTAATTCGTTATTAACGCTTTCATGTAATATAGTTTTTTAGTTTATCTTGTATCATAGATTTCCATAGTTGTGCTGGTCATATAGACTCGAATTTGAAATAATAAAAAATCGTTAAAAAAATATAAAAAAATTTTTTTTTTTTTGAGTTCCTTCAGGATTTATGTCGAAAAACGAATAACAAATGATTCTGTTGTAATAGTTGGTATTAAAACACATTGCCTAACATTACAATTTATCCAACGACTATAAAAAATAAATAACAGGATTTATCTTATTTATTTATAATGACAGATATTTTTATTTAGAATTATTTGTTGAAATAAAAAATAAATTCTATATTACAACCGTTTTTTTATTAAATATCCAAATATATTTATTAAATTTCGAATTATTGAATCATTGCACAACATCTAAATATTATTCTTATATGTTACTTGAATAATTATACTAGTATACAAATGCATCACGAACTATTTTCCAAACATTTTTTTTAATGATTCCCATCAACATAGAAATTTATGCATCCACATATTATGCGCGTAGACAAATCAATCTTTTTTCGGATAGATTTTGAGAAACGAAACCGCGCATATTGCATCATTGTTTAAGTTTTCAAAATGGATAAACACAATAAATACTTAGGCACGAGTTCATTTACGGGCAAATTTAGTGCGATATGATATCTCCATTTTTATGCACGTTTTATTTAGTCATAGTATTCGTTCGAATACTTTTTGCGGATCATGACATCGATTTTCTCGCGAAGGAAGTTGATCTTCAAGTCCCCCTGGATAGTAAGCAAAACTTTCCAAATAAACCTTCTCTGGATCATGTCCCTTTCGAAAACCCGAAGCATCTCGAGTCCCACCACCACCACCATCATCATCATCACTTTCTATCCAGTCCATTATCGCATCATCATTCGCATTCGAAGATTTCTTCCAATCCATTAATTTTTTTACCACATCGTCACCATCTATTTCCATTGTCCAACCCATTCACTCCTCGCCTGAACCCGCCTCGAAATACACACCCATACTTTCCATTACCATGCGAACTATTGTTGAACTCTAAACACCAATTATCGCAACTTCAAGCAATTTTACTGGCATCGGCGTGCGCACGCCAACAAGTCGGGTGTAGCAATTCGAAAATTAACAATATTGTGGATACTTTAGAAGTCTCAACGCATCAAGCAATGAACTCGATGGTTGATTCCAACGGTGGTGAGCAACCTTCTACTAATATTGAGATCACGGTTACTACCGCCATTCCGCTTGAAGAGAGCGTACCAGGGGAATTCAAAGAGAACGAGGCGTCGGAATTGCCCGAAATTCAGAATGAATCTGAGGGAAGAACAACCAAGGATGACAACTCTTATAATATTCTTGATGGTGAAAAGGATCAAACAAATATGAAAACCGAGGAATCTGAATTGCTCTCGACATCAAGTCTATTCGATGAACACCCTCTTACCAAATTCGATCCTTTTTCACGTGCAAGACCCTTTCTGCAGCTTGATGATATGTACCCAGCTCAACCAAGGATTCTTCCAATGGCCAATTGTTTTTTTGGACCTTTGTTTACCGTGTTCGCCTCTCTGTTAATGTTGACTGCAGGTATTGAGTATTTGGTAGGAATAATTAGAAGGAAGAAGGTTAGCTCTCTCCATAAATCAGGTTCTCATCCGTATATTGCTGATAGCCGTAATATAAAAAGATTTGACGAGTGTAAAGCCGATGGACATGAGGAAAAGAAATATGATGAATATTTAGAAAAAGACGTATAGCTTTGGTATTTTTGGGTGATACATGAATTGAATGATTTAATCTAAATACACGGTATTTCAAGAAAAATCCATATGAAAAAAAAAAGGTATTAAAAATTATCATTACACACACTATTTTGTCTCAAACTTGAGAGAAGTGAAAAGATTTCCAATCCCTAATATAATTAAATTATGACATGATTTCTTGTGTAAATCATTCAAGTCAATTTTATTATTATTATTATTGTTGTTGTTGTTGTTGTTGATATTATTATTGGTATTTTGTAATAATTAAAAACAAAAATCTAAAGATTGCATTTTTGATATCAAGATTCCCATTATTTGTATGGATACAGTAACCCTTACCTGTATAATTACAAAAATATATAATAATTTCAATATAAAATATCACAGTATTTTAGAATTATTATTTTTTATTGTAGCAGGTTAAATACATAATAATCTGCTAGAATTATTAAAAGATAAATGAAAATATAAAACAACGGTGAGTTCTGTTAATTGAAGTTGACAAGACTCAACTGACACTTTAATCACAATTTAGTGTCTTCTTAACAAAATACAACACAAAGAAACATATACATAGATGCGATGATTTTACTATCTTTTTAGGCTTTCTGTCCCAGCGAAATAGAAATCAAAGAAAGTAAAAGAATCCTATTGTGTAATATTTTTCATTTTTCTATTTTTCTCACAATATTTCTCAACCTAACATTTATTCAATGATCTTCTCTTTGTTTCAGTTCTCACAAAACTGAATATTCAAGCCACATTACGTTAAATTAGTCTACTTAAATCTTATTATTAACGCACATTCGTGCCATTATTTTATGTTTAAAAAAGGTTTTTAGCAGAAATGAAGATTTTCCTTATTAAATTCGTAGAGTAACCTTGAATATATAAAATTAGAAATTAGTGCATTCGAAAATAGATACTACATTAAGTTACAAGTTGAACCAAAAATGCTACCTTAAAAAATCTTCGACTTCCATTTTGGCTGCTCGTGTTTCTGAAAATCCTGTTGCCTTGAGAATATCAAGGATCTTTTGTTTAATGTCAAAGTCTACCTCCATTTGCTAATAAAAATAAAATAAAATAAATAAATAAATTCTTTATAAAAAAAAAATAAATTAAGATTAAAATAACTCATACCATTTCATTTATAGAACAAAATGTTTTGTAATTATTTTTCAGAATATCCAGAATAGAATTGGTTTTGAAATTTGCTGCAAGGGTCTGAAAGAGGTCCGTGATGATTAAGAATTTAGAAAGTCATAATAAATTTATTACCCAAGGCATCATTGATCACGTATTAGAAAATCGAACCTTGTTTTTCCTTACGAAAGCTATCCGTAATAATCCATCGAATTCTTTAAAATCCACTGGCGGCGGAGGATTACGTGGTTCGATCCTTACTACTGATGATTCTACTTGTGGTGGAGGTTTAAAATTATTCTTTCCTACCTAAAATAAAACATATAATGATACATTTATAAAAGTTGAATATATTGTAAATAATAATTGCAATACCTTCATTATATGGTTCACTTTAGCATATAGTTGAACGTTCACACTCAGTCTACAATATAAACTGTCACCCGGCTTTGCGACCAATCGCAAGGCAAACTCGCGTTGAAACATCAATATTGCGCATCTGAACAACGGCCGGTGCTCAAGAAGTTTAAATATAAGAGGTGAAGAAATCTGTAATAATATCAGAAGATGTGATCAGCATGAAAGTAACAAACAATTCAACTAGAATAACTGAATAATTGCTTCAAAAACCTGATATGGTGTATTACTGATGCAAACATCAAAATAGGGTAAATCCGTCTTGATAACATCACCAACCATTATGTTCAGACATTTTTGTTCTGGCCTGATTAAAGAATAGATATTAAAATTAGCCCAACCGCAGAAACATTATTGTTGAAAATTTAATATTAATTATGGAAATACTCACTTTCCTTGAACACGTTTCGTCAATTCTGCAGCCAAACGGGGATCCATCTCTACCGCTATAACTTTTTTCGCTTTCTCGAGTATCTTTACTGTAAGGTTACCAGTTCCAGGACCAACTTCAAGGACAATATCAGTACTCTTTAGACCAGCCTTATGTTAAAATCAGAATTAGTAAATTCCTAGTCTCTTTACCGGGTGAAATTCTCAGTCAAATTATATATTATTCCTTTACTTTTTCCACAATGCTCTGTGATACAAGTGGATTCTTTAAAATGTGTTGGCCCATATTTTTATTAAACAACGGCGCCAACGTTTTGCCAATTGGGGTCGTAGATTTATCATTTTTCGATTGCTTATGAGAATAGCCAAACTTTTGAGATTTTACTTTCGGCATACTGGTAAAGTTAAAAAATTTTTTTGATTATCACTCCCTTTATTTATGGCTTTTTTTTTGGTAGATCAATCATGTGATTTTGGTTTTAATATTACAAAAATTACAGCGCTAAACCTTAGCGGGTACCTCTTCCAAGCATCTACCATCATAATATCCTAGAATCTAGTACTTAACTGATGCTATGATAGGACGCGAAACAGAAAAAACAATCGCGCTTTATAAATCGCAAGTCTTGTTATACTGTATTATATGCTACTAATTCTTATGTAGAAATAATCACGAATTTCAAATTAGAGAACATATTTAACAAAGTATTGATAAAAGTTCTATTTAAAGCTTCAAGGAAAGTATAATCGACTAAAGGAATTAAATATTAAACAAAAAAAAACATCACCTAAGAGTTTCGCGACGACTATTAGTGGAAAGGAGTTCGTAATAGAAAGATACGATATACACTAAAGTCCATGTCACTTTCAAAGAACGGTGAATAGTTTAATCGAAGTTAAGTGATTCCATTACTCCTATTAAAGTCTCATAATACGTCTATTACTTAACCTCGAATTAAACTACTACCAGCTCTAGGGTTAAACGGACGATAGGATACTAAGCTTCTAATACTCGCCCGTGATGTAGTTTCATAAGGAAAGTTCATAACCTATCCTTCATCTGGAAACAGACTCGACAAAAAAAACATAGCGTAATAAATAAATAACACTCATCTATCTGGTTCGGTTTTTTCACAACCAGTTCGGTAAAAAGATAGGAGAGACTTTTCTCACAGCAGGAAAGGTCTCGGTTTAGTAAAAAGGTTAGGAAAGAGACTTTCCTTGCGTTAGGGAAAATATAAAAACAAGAGTGATGTGATAGAACATTGTTATAACAAAGCTTTACCTATAGGTGCGAAAAAAATTTAAAAAAAAAAGATATTAAGAGAGGTAGATATTTAAATTTAAGAGAAAAAGCAACGCGAAATTCTACTACTAATATACATTTTTTGGTAAAAAACGCGTAATATTTTTATCACGTGAATGTTTCACTACTAACAGTAAGCCACCAGGAAAATATGACGTAAGGCTTGTTTTTAAAATATATACAGTATATACAATTTATAATCAAAGTTTATTCTAAATGCATGTTATGCTATATTGAATTTCTTCCATATTAGCTTGTTGCTATTGACTTATTTTAAAGATGTATCAATACTAACATACTAAGGCTCCATTAGTATTATTAAATAAAAACTATATTTATTTTTTAGTTTAACCAGTAATCTATTAATTTTTATTGCATAACATTTTTTTTTATTCTTTCTGTTGTGAATCTCTGTTGCAATATATTTTCTAATTGTATATTGTTTTGATATTCTTTGTTTTTTACTTTTTTTTTCTCTTTTATTAATATATATATTTATTTATTTATTGCTGGAATTTTTTATATCTTGATTTCAAAACTTATATACCTTTTTTATTATTTTGACTTATAATTGTTTTTAGTATGTTTTTAAATTTTATTTCATGGATTTGAAATTAAATTTTTATTATATATTCTTTTGACTATTTATCTGAAGCTTTTTTCAAATAGTTTTTTAATTGGTTTGGATTTTTTTTTTTCTATTTTACTTGATATTTTTTAAAAAAATTTTTTAAATATATTGTTTTAATTTAATCTTTATAATATTATATACAGTATATATGTTGTTAGTAAAAAATTTTATAATATAAATGATTTTTTATATTATATATATAATTAAAATATTAGTAATGTTTTGAAAAAGTAATATATCTTATTATAAAAATTTAAATAATAATATAATAATATATAAGTTATGATAATATAATTCTAATCTATAAGTATAATCTTGAAAATTAAAATCAAACAGACTCATATAAACTTATATGAGATTCAAAATATTATTAAAAATAATAATGGATTATAATTTATATATTAAATTTAATATACAAATCAAAAATTGAATTGAATTGTAAAAATTCTTATTTATAATATATATTTTAAAATTTACAAATCAAATAAAAAATGACATTTATTTATTATTATTATTTTTTAAAAAAGCAAATAACTATCATATTTTATTTTATTATATAATTTTAAACTTGTAAATTACAAAAATTACAATATTAATAGCATAATATATATTTCTCTTTATTAAAAAAAAATAAATAAAAGGCTTATAATTGCAGCTTATTTCTTATACTCTTTAGCAATACTTAAAAATATATAAAAAAATTTTCAAAATCTATATTGTACTTTAAATAATATTCAACTATTTGAAGATAATTATTATTTAATTATATAAAAACATTACAACTATTATATACAGATTTGCTTTCAAGTTATAATCAAAATTAGTATGTTTGTTTTTCAAATATAACTTAATATATAATAAACAAAAAATAATATTATACCATAAACTTCAGTTGAATAATTTATTTTAATATTTAAATAATTACCATCCTAGTTAAAATATTATTAGTAAATATTGATATTTCATTCAAGTATTTAATGTTTGATCTTTTCTGCCTTCTTAAAATTGCAAGAAATTAATCAAACCTGTAATAAGTAAAAAAAAAAAATAGTTGTTTTTTACAAAAAACTTTATACATAAAACTATACTATTTAAGTATTTGAATAAAATCTAGTTCAAGTATAAAACAAAAAAAAGATGAAAAAAAAGTTTAAACATAAAGTAATAATTTGTTAAAAAATATTTGGATATGATAAAATTGAAGTTTTTTATAAATATTATTATTTAACTTTATACAATAGATCTATATTGTCAAAAATAAGTATTATTATTATCAACTCTATTTGAAAAATTTATTAAAATTTCTAATTATCATATATTACCTTATTAGATTTTTCCAATCACTAGTATAACATATATAACAATCTAGCATTGGTATTACTACACTAATATTGGCTACTATTTTTTTTTAAATATAAAATATAACTTTTTAAAAATAGTTATATAATAGTTTTAAATATATCTAGTCTTTATTATTAACAAATAAACAATATCAGATTTGATAATAATGATTATATCAATCTTTTAGAGAAAGTAAACCATTTATTTTTTTTTTAAAAACTATAAAAACAAAAAAAAATTCAAAACTTATGTTTTGAGAAAAGTTGTTATTTCTTAATAGTTTTTGAAAAATAAAAATTTACTAATCAGAGTAATAATAAAATAAATAATATTATAAAAAGAAAATGAGATCTAAAGAAAAAAAACTTTAAAAAATTCAACTTTGACAAAAAAGGAAAAAAATAAAAAAATAAAGAGAATGAGGAGAAAAAAAAAATAATAATAATAAAATAAAATAAAAAAATAAACAACTTAATTAAAAGTTATCTCAAAAAATTTTTTTCAAGTATTTAAGAAAAAATAAAATTAAGTTTTTTTTTTTTTAATAACTGATATATATCTTGTTTATTAAATATTATATTGAACTCTTATATATTTATAATATAAAGTATAATTTATTTATTCTCTAAATTATTTAAAATAAAAAAAACTACTTATTAGTTGACTTGTTATTTTTCATGTCTCTTATATTATTAATGTTAAAATTCTAATAATATAAATAAAAAACTAACTTGTTAAAATATATATCTTTAAGTTTCTATTCACTATTTGATAAATAGAAATTTAAAAAACTATTGAAACAAAATCAGTTACAGATTAGTTATATTTTATTGATTTTAACTAAATCTATTAAAATTAAAAAAATAAATATAAAATAAATATACTGTAAAAAAAACTCTTTCCGCTAATCTTTTTGCCAATACAAAAAAACAGACGTTCCAAGGAAATTTTATATTTCCTTGTAATAAAGTCTATACACTTTCATTAACAACACTTATACCAAGAGACAATA